TACTTCTTGACTGCCTTAAGAGAAGTATATTGTTGATATCAGTATTAATTGCAACAAGCCTGTTCAAAGTAATGGTAATGAAAGAGGATTCCTGTCATAAAGAAACCTTATTCCAATATGGAGAGAAATATATTACTGGTGTGATTGCTCTGGAAAAATATATAAAAACAGTTGGAACATAGGGAACCTCTAAGGTTGATGATGGGGTCAGGTCAGGAAGGGGATAGTCAGGATTCAAAGAAGTGGAAGTTGGCCTATTTATTATATATAGAGAAGAAGAATGTTTAGCATAGAAGAAATGAAATAGTGTTCGAAGTGTGCCAGTTATTTAATTTGTTTGAAGGAAGGTGAATGATACAAGTTAAGATGTTTTTAACCTAATCATCTTATTTATTGATGTGTCAAATGCTAGAAATAGATTTTATTTTTAGATTTTTGTTTTTAATTTATTTATGCATACAAGAGCTGGGGTATAGGCCAGAGGTGCAAGGGATGAGAGGACTCACCAGAGACAGAGTGGGGAACAGAACAGGCAGACTGACTGAAATACACTGCTGAGGGGAGCAGTGAGCGAGTCAGGAGAGGTCTACTAGTTGCTCCCTGGCCTGCCTGGGATCGAACTGGTGCTGCAAAGGCTGTGGACAGCTTCATAGGTTGCGTCTTAACCCCTTGTACCACCAGGGAAGCCCAAATAGAAATAAATTTTAAACGAGACAAGTAATTATTCATTTTCAGAGTGCTAATAAGTTTTCCTACAGGGAGTAAATTTTCACTGAAATGTTAGAAATGATAGCCATGGTATCAAAAGAAAGTGGGAACTTGATTAAAGACTCCATTTCAAAGACAACTGCAGGAATGTTCATAAGATATCACTGCTGGAACCAGGCTAGTGACATTGGTTGTGACATTGGTATAGAAAAAAAGGGATAGGTGACTAGAAAGTTATAAGTGTCTTAACTTTGGGTAAGAATTGCTGTAGGGGCCTCCTTGATGGCGGAAGGGGGTTAAGATTCAACCTATGAAACTATCAGCAGCCACTACAGCACGAGTTCTATCCCCTGGCCAGGGAGCTACCCACATGGTGCAGCAGACCTCTCCTGTTTGGCCCACTGCTCCCCTCAGCAGCGTATTTCAGTCATTCCACTGTTCTGTTCCCCACTCTGTCTCAGATGAATCCTCTCACCCCCACACCTCTGGCCTGCACCTCCCATTCTTGTATGCATAAATAAGTAAATCTTTTTTTTTAAGATTTATTTATTTATTTATACAAGAACCAGAGTACAGGCCAGATGCGTGGGAGGGTAAGAGGATTCACCAGAGACAGAGCAGGGAACAGAACAGGCAGATCTACTGAAATACACTGCTGAGGGGAGCAGTGGGTGAGACAGGAGAGGTCTGCCACGCCATGTGGGACCCTCGCCGGCCAGCTGGGGTCAAACCAGTGCTGCAGAGGCTGTGGACAGCTTCATAGCGCTGCACTCAACCGCCTGCGCCACCAGGGGAGACCCTAAATAAGTAAATCTTTTAAAAAAAAAAGAATTGCAGTAGCTTGAACACTCCCTCACTGAGCTCTCTAGTTTGCATATCCATGCCTCTCCTACTTCTCTACTTTCTGCATCTTCAATACTGATACCATTCTCTTTTCTTCAGATACTGATTTTCCTTGAGTCCCTGTCTCATGCTAATTTTATTCAGTTCTATCATTTTAACTGCTCTTGAATTCAGACCATATATATTTAGTGTCACCTCTCGAATTCTTTGTATATAAAACTGAATGTTTCTTCACAAACCTGCTACTACTTTCCTGCTTACTGAATTAACATATAGTCCCTTATTCTTAGATCTCTAACATCAGCATTTTTTTTTCCATTCCTAATGCAGCTGTCCTAATTTCTTTGCTTTTGCAGTAACACTTTCTGAATTGTCATGTCATTCTTTTCAATTGCCTTGGCAAATCATTACTAATTAGTACAATAACTTCAGATTTCCTCAGTGACTTCCTTTCACCTATGTGATTAAATATTATGTATGCCTTTGTGTGCTCTCTCTTCTAAATAACAGACCACTGTTTTTCTTTTTCTAAGTTTTTCCTCCTTGGTGTCTTTCTGCTCTTTCCCCTGAAGAGTATTCTTTTGTCTAAATCTTTTTCTTTTTCTTTTTTTAAAGATTTTATTTATGCATACAAGAACTGGGGTACAGGCCAGAGGTGTGGTGGGTGAGAGGAGTCACCAGAGACAGAGTGGGGAACAGAGCAGGCAGACTGACTGAAATACACTGCTGAGGGGAGCAGCGGGCAGGTCAGAGAGGTCTGCCGCACCATGTGGGTAGCTCCCTGGCTGGGGATTGAACTTGTGCTACAGTGGCTGCGGCTTACTTCATAGGTTGTGTTTTAAACCTTGCATCACCAGGGAGGCCCCTTTTTCTTTTTTTAAATTTATTTTACATATGTATACATACAAGAGCTGGGGTTGTGGGGCAGAGGTGCCAGAGACAGTGTGCAGAGCAGAACAGATGGATTAACTGAAATACACTGTTGAGGGAAGCAGCAGGTGAGACAGGAGAGTTCTGCTGCACTGTGTGGGTTAGCTCCCTAGAGGGGGATGGAACTCCTGGCCTGGGGATAGAACTCGTGCTGCAGTGGCTGCTGATAGCTTCTTTTGTCTAAATCTTTTTCTTTGGGTGACTTTCAGCCTTAATTACTAATGACCACTAAAGCATGGGTCAGCAAACTTTTTGTCTGAAGGATCAGATAGTAAATATTTTAGGTTTTCTGAGTTTCTAAAGGTCTCTGTTACAATTACTTGATTTTGCTTTGTACACAAAAGCAGCCATATATAAAATCTCCAGTGGGTGTGACTCTGTTCCAACAAAACTTTGTTTTGCGAAAGCAAATTTGTAGATGCTCAGTTTGCTGACACCTCCAACATACCTTGTTATTTAATACTACCAAGTCTCCCGCACACTGATCCTTCTACTTAGAATCCCCCTTCAATAAAGCTACCTACTCTTCTAAACTCACATGGGGCAAACATTTTATTTTTGCATCTTTCTTTTTCTTTTATTTTTTAAAAGATGTATTTGTTTATGCATACAAGAACTGGGGTACAGGCCAGAGGTGTAGGGGGGGTGAGAGGATTCACCAGAAACAGTGGGGAACAGAACAGGTGGACTGACTGAAATATACTGCTGAGGGGAGCAGCAGGTGAGTCAGGAGAGACATGCTACACCGTGTGGGTAGCCCCCTGACCGGGGATCAAACTCAGAATTAAGGACTTGTAAGTAATTGGACATTTACTACATGAAGCATTGTGATAAAAGTAGTCTGCTTCAGAAAATTGAATGTTACATTTTCTTCATTTGATGAATGGCTTAAGTAAATTTATATCAAATAAGAATTGTTGATAAAATAAAATTTCAAATTTGTATGATAATCTAAATTAGATTTTTAATAAATACCAGAAATTTTTCCTGATGTTCCCAGATTTGGCCCTGTGGCCATTTTAATTAACAATTTGCGGAATAGGATGCTGTGATCCCTATCTACAAGAATTGCGACATTAAAGGGAGGGGGGTGTGTATCTATTAGAGGGCAATATTTTAATACTTTTAAGTAAACAGATTAATTTCCATGTTATGATTTTGTATAGTTGAAAGTGCCTTCTGCGACTTTCTTTGTAACTTTATGCAATTCATTTGTTAGCTTCTCTTGTGATAGTTAAAGCTACACTATTCATTTAGTTACCTTTCGCATTTCATATTTAAACTCTAAATTGAGGCTTTTTGTAACCTAAGAGGGCAAAAATTAATGTCACTCCTTTCCTCTGAGTTTTTTATCACTAACTTCTTGTTAGTAGGATTGTGTAAGTATGGTACAATATGTATATACTATTTCATTTCCTTCCTTTTTCTGATCTTTAAGTCTTCGTGGAAACAAATTCTAATCAAGGCAGTCAAGTTGCTGCTAGTTATAGAAGTTATTCGTAGGAAGGGGAACTTCTCAGCACTTTAATAATGCTGATTTTTTTTCTTGGCTAGAAGGTAGGCTGGCCCATGGCTAATTTTTTAGTTAGGTTATCCTTTTTCTTCAGAAATTGTAAATTCACTATTCCAGAAGCCGTAATTGAGGGTAATGAAAGTTAGCTTACCAGGAGTCATATAAAACCAATAGTATAGAGTAAAACCTAAAACTGAATCTTCTAATTTAAGCTAAGGAAATGTCTTCAGTATTCTAAAGATATGCAAATAGGTATATATGCAAATAGGTGTTTTTTTTTTTTATTCTAAAGTTTGTATGTTTGCTTTTAGAGTGGTATGATTGCTTCTGTGACTCAAATGTTGGGCCCCAGGTGCTCCCAAATAAAGACGGGGGCAGGTTGACGTTTATAGTGGGAAAGAGAAGGAAATATTACTGTATAGTTGGGCTAAAATGAAAAAGCTATTAATTTTTTCTCTCAGAATACAATTAAATGTAGACTTACGCTTTGCATAATGCAAAAAGTAATTTATATTCAAAATTCAGGAATTTATTTGTTGTAAAATACAAGATTTCTGTAACTTTCACTAAAAGAAGAAATGTTGGTTGTGTTGGATTAGTTTTTGTATAATATCAGCTAAAACGTGAAGTTGTATAATATCAACTAAAGCATGAAGCTAAATCATATTTAATGAATGCTTTATACAGAAGACTTGGGCATCTTGTTGAAGAATTGTCAAAAAATATTTTTTTTTTAGTAACAATGAGTAAGATAAGGAATATTTTGTGTATAGCATGCTTTTGTATCTCTTTACTATTTATAGGCAGAATTATTCTCTCAGGAATTTGATTTCTAATATAATTGACTAATACTTAAGGTAATCTGTATGATGCACTTAAGAATTAATAGGAAAGTTAGTGTTTTGTATGAGTTTCATAGAACTGTGCTATTTCAATACTACTCCAGCTTAGTGATAATTCAAACTTTGCTTTTGTGTGTAAAATAATCTTTTTTTTTTCCCTTCAGAAATGGAATCTGTTTGGAGTTTGCAGAAGCAAGGTAAGAATGGTTCGGTTACTTGAAATGTTAGTGCTAATAACATTATTGGGGAAGGGAATAACTTGAGTAGTGACCTACCACATAAAAGAAAGAATTCTTTACCTGCCAGGTGATGAACAACATGAATATTTTCTCCCTAATTATGAAAGTAAGACAGCCTATAAATAGTTTAAGTCTTGGAAACCAGCATGAATAACCATTCCATTTATGACCAGCCTTTATCAGTAGTTACAGAAACTTAATCTGGACTGTTTGTTTTCAGGAAAGATGGCTGGAAATCTAAGAATAGCAAATTAACCTCTTTTATCCTCCATAAATCAGATATGAATAGAAGAAGGAAGAGGGACTGCCTAATCCACATCTTCATTATTGGGAATTTTTTAAAAATTCAAGTTGGTTATCCTAATTATTGTGCAACTTGTTACCAAATATATTAAAATGTGGTAGTTGTAGAATACCTGAAATAAAGTAGAAGTTTGGTGTAGAGAACTAGTCACTAACAGGTTTGGGTTTTTAGAATTTTGTAACTGAATTGTAATCTACTTCCTACCTACTTTACTAGTTAATATAAAAGAAATTCCTATAGTTAGAAAGTGACAAGACTAGGATGTTAGGTTTCACTGATTTTCCAACATTGCTCTTCCTTCCACCTGCCTTGTTCTTGGGCCCAGTCTTTGTCAACAAGCTGTGGCTTGAAGATACTACCAAACTTTTAACTTGCTTTGAGTTGATTTCTGTGTACTTTCTTATTCACATACAAATGATTTAAAAAAAAAAGGTAGACTTGGAATTATATGCCTTCAAAAGTGGATCTGCCTGTTTTTACTGTAAAATGACTATTATTAAGAGTGAGTATTACCTTCATGGCAGGTTACTAGTGGATGACATTTGGAGTCCTAAAAGGATATTATATTATCTCTGGAATAAATAAGATTGATTCTTAGAGGTATGCTTGAGTCTTTGGTGTTGTTTTCAGTCTTTGGTGTTTATTTTCCACTAGGTAGCAGGTTTTATTGGTTTGCTGTTTTTTTATCTTAAGCATGCATATTTCAAAGTTTTTTTTTTTTAAGATTATTTATTTATTTATACAAGCACTGGGTACAGTTGGAAACACAGGACGGTGAGAGAATTCACCAGAGACAAAGCGGGGAACAGAACAGGCAGACTGACGAAATACACTGCTGAGGGGAGCAGCGGGCGTGGCAGGAGAGGTCTGCGCGCCATGTGGGACCCTCGCCTGTTGGCCGGGGATCGAACCGGTGCTGCAGAGGCTGCGGGCAGCTTCACAGCCCAGTGCTCAACCACTGCGCCACCAGGGGAGGCCCATATTTCAAAGTTTTTATGATAGAAATAGTATGTAATAAAACCATTCTCTCTCCAGAAGAGGGGAGCAGCATACAGACTAATAGGATTTTAGAGTAACACTGGAGTCTTTGTTCACTTTTTTTTTTAAACCCAAGTTTGTTTTATTTTAAAGATCCATAGAGATAGGCTGTTGCTGAAATAAAGGTTGTTAGTATGGCAGGAAGTTAGGATAGGATTGAACTGGTAGTTTTGCTAACCTAACTTAACCTGAAGTTTTTTGCGCTAAATATTCTTGAACAATTCATTACTAGATAGTTCTCACTGGTGAAAATAAATACTGACTTCATTGTGCTGAGAAGAGCAATAGATAGATAGACGGACAGACAGACAGACAGATCCAAGTGTTTGTTTTTGTATTAGATTACCAGGTTTTTTTTCTTTGTCTTTTTTCAAATGTGCTTTTATAATCAAGAGAGACATATAAACTTGTTTACCTGTAGGAGTTGAGACCCTCACTGACTAGAGGACTCCATTGGTGGGAATCCATGGGATGTTGATTGGGTCGAGAAAGTGAATTACATGTGTTCATACAAAGAGAAAGTAATTTTTAAATTGTGTTTCCATTAACACAAGCAATTTAAATGGTTATTTGGGATTTGTTTTTGGAAGATGGGCATTTTGGCACCTCAATTCTTGTTATTTATGTATTTGTTTTTTAACCTTCCCTCTAGATCCCGAAAGGATAATCACTTACAATGAAGCCATGGATAGTCCAGATCAGTGAAGGACCAGACTGCCTATTGTAACCTTTCTGCAGCATATTAGAGCCACCGTTCATGGGAGACACAGGCTTTTATGCTCCTAGATCTTCAACGCAGCAGAGGAACCATAAGTAGAATCACAGGATAATATATACAAATATATATATATACATATATATATATATATATAGTTATTTAAAAAAAAAGGCAACTGAAAGTAATTAGACTTCTTTAAGGAATCAAATTTATTTCAAGAGACTACACATGGTTATTTAATCTCCGGTACTGAATAGTTTTTTTTTCCTTTTCTTTTGTTAGTTTTTGTTTTTTAAGTGTGAATGCAAGTGATTAATGAATACAGACTTAACAAGCGTGGTTCTAAAGTTCCTACTGTCATCAGCTTGGGCAACAAATGACCCACTGGAAAGGCAAATCCACTTAAAAGATCTCTGTATCTTGTTCTGTGACTAAAGTGATACACTAATCACTGGGAACCCAGAATGATTCAACATTTCCCCCACTCCTTCCTTGATTTTTTTGGGTTATACCTTAAGCCCTGCGAGAATGCTGGATAAATGCCTTGAAGTTTGCAGGGGTAAATTTTTTTAGTGAATATGATTTGCATGTCTTGCCAGAAGTTAAGCAGCCTCTGTGGGGTGTTGGGGAAATACTTTCTTTTAATTTTTTGGGGGAGGGGGGCATTGAAGTTCTACAAATTGGAATAGTTGGTGGTACATAGTTCACTTGCCTTTGGTTACATATTGGACTTTTAACAAGTGAGGAATCTATACATGTCATTTAAAGAAAAGTTACAGAACAAACAATTGGCTTTAGATATTTAATATGAAAAAATACTCTGCCCATATTTTAATGTAACTGTTTAAGTGGGAGCAAAAATATATTCTGCTTTTCAACTGTAGGTGCTCCAGACTTGCTCTGTCACTAACACTAAATGTGCTGTTTTCCTTGTTTTTCATCAAACATCTGAAGAGAAACTTCTGTTACCTTTCCGTAAATTCTTTTAATTTTTCAGTTAATCTAAAGGAGGAAGAAAAATGTCCATGAAAACTATAAAACTTTTCATGTTTTTAGCCAGTGAGGAGGTAATAAACCCTGCCTATAGAAAGTGTGTTTTCATGCAAACTATACTTCTGAGCTTATTAGCTTCTAATTATATCTTAATAAATATATTTTATTACTAGAGCAAAATGGGTTTTTAAAGGAAAATAATGTGAAATTCTGGAAATTTTCTTTTGGGCAGAGAAGAGCATTAGCCCTGTCTTACCACATTGCCATCCTGTTGCACTGCAGCTTGTATATAGCATGCTAAAATAAATTTTTTTGTGTGTGCAGAAACTAAGGGTCCAATTTAAGATTGGGTGATGTTAGTGGCATAAAAACAAGTTCTCTGGCCTGACATAGCATCACATCACACACACAGATTAGTATATCCATGTATGTCAAATGCAGGTTAAAATAGCAGGGCATTTATACAGAGAGGTGTAATCTAATAAAAGTAGACTGGATCCCCTGAGGTATTTGGGGAGAAAGTTAACTACTTTTGCTTTTACCCCTTTGCTTAAGAAATGTCCAGTTTTGAATGACTGTAGTATGGATGAGTTTTCTTGTTTCGTTGATTATTTGAGGCTTTTAACAAGTAGTTTGCAAATGAAGCTGTTGGACTCAACTTAGAGTAGAGAATATATCTTTATAGTCTGGATTTTTGCCCTGCTTAGATTTTAAAAGTATAAGCATGGATTGCCAATTCCACTTGATGTAAACAAAACTTTTTATACATAATATATATATATAAAATAACTTATTGTATCAGTCCAGGTTCAGAAACTTGTGGTAGGCCAGTTCCAGATAGTTTCATTTCACCTGTAAACTGTATCACTTTTACTGATATTGTAATTTTCAAATGTATAATATGTTTACAGATGTGCCCTGCATTTAGTCTGCCTTGTTCCTATTTTGATTTTTGTTGAATTTCCTGCCTGCTTGCCAAAAGCTAGGATGCTTCAGGCCCATGTACAATTGAAAGCAGAGGCATCCTTGAGCTTTAAAGCATTGAACAAACTGGAAAATGCAACATACCACATGCTGAAGTGAAAGAAGTCTGTGTTTTGTGTTTTTTTTTTTTTAATAAAAATTTTCAAAAAGGTGAAAAAAAGATACAAGGTTGATTAAAGGAAAAAAAAAAAAGGCTCCAGTTTGTTTTATAGGTTTTAAAGTTCTGCTGTGTGTTCAATTGCCTTGTGTAACCACTTATCGCCTTAGGGCCAGATACCCCCAACATCTACCCCCCCACTCCTTTTTTTTTTTCAAATGTTCCTTTTGCTTGCCTGAAATTTTAAAGCTCTTCTGTCTCACAACTCACAAGAAATTTTCTGGGTTTGTGACATACAGATGTTGACTGAACATATATTTAAAAAGGAAAAAGCAGCCCCCCTCTGATTGGGCTTTTTAATTTAGAAACAACACTTACTTAAAAAATTATTTAGAAAGCTGTTACTGCTTTCTCCCTTCCATAACCCTCAGACCTCCATGTATAGAGAAGCCAAAAAGAGAATGTATCCCTTCTCTGTTTGTCCAAAGGTTTTTGAGTCTCACTTCTAAATGAAACAATGCAACATTTCACTGTTTTCTCCACTGAAATTTCCTTAATTATATGGTTAGAGGTAAATACAGTTAGGAATGTCTCTTAACCTTCTGGGAACCCCAGTGCCCCATTATATTAACTATCAGTATTTTTTGGGCATTGGGTTAATGGACTTAATTGCCTAGGTACAAGCAGGACTTTGGAACAAATATCCTTTGTGCTGTTTGGTAATACTTAACTCTACTTGTCGCAATCTTTCTCCTTAGGTCCTCACACAATTCCTTACAGAGCACTTATTAAAAAAAATCTTAAGAGTTGATCTGTTTTCTGATTATTTTTGTGTAAGCTTCTAAACAAACTTCAGCTGTGATTAATTTAGTGCATTTAAATAACATTAATGTGTTAATGTTTGGTATAAAGAATTTTCCTTCAACTCAGAGTATTAGTACTGTAGCATAAACCAAATACAGTCTAGAGGGGATTTTTAACATCCCTCCATTATAAAGACTGAAAAAAGGTATGTGTCTGTGTGTGTATTGTTGAGTGCTTGTGTGTGAGGGTAAGAGGGAGATATTAAAAACTAGTAAGTAAATGAATGTGTGTAAGACATTATATTAGTATTCAGAGAATGAACTTGTATTTATTTTGTGCCATTGGTTTTCATTACACAGAATAAAGTCAGGTGGTTTTAATCCTTAAAATTGTAGTATTTGAAAAATGGCACTAAGAATGAAATCATGACCTATTTTTTTAATAGCTATGAAGATACTAATTAATGGTGAAGATTTCTTTTTAATTCTGCCTGGATTGTAGGCTTCTGTATCACATACCACTCCTTTGTAGATGTCCTGAATAATTCCCCTTCCCCACAAAAGACAGGGTGTATTTATCTTTCTCTTTATTCACCCCACCACCACCACTTTATTGAACTGACGTTAATTGCATAGCCTTTTCTCTGACCTCCTTAGTAATGAACTTTCACATAAAGTGTAGTAGCATCTGTAGTAGCCCTTCCTTTGGTTTCTAGGAGGGAATAGACAATAATTAGGAATTTGTTAATAACAGTTTTTTCTTAAATGACTGGAGAGGTTCTCTCCCATTTAATCATCTGCTTACCTACTCATCACAGAATCTGCAAAAACTTTATAAAGGAAAAAAAAAGTGCTGCATTGTTTTCAAATAACAGTTTCTAGGGAAAATGATGAACCTTAATTTTGAGTGTTGTCCACAGTACTAAATGTGTTTCTTCATAAAACATAGCAGCAGTAGTCTCATACTTACTAGGCTTGTTGCTTAACCCAATCAAGCATTTAAAGGTTTGCCTTTTGCTGTAAACTTCTTAAAACAAAAAAGCCATTTAGTGTGAAATTGTATGTCATGATACCAAATGGCCACAGGCAAGGAAATCTGGAAGACGACTTAACTTTGTTTTAGATTCTGCTAAATAAGGAATCATTCTTTAAAGACTTTCTTAAGAGATATGGATTAAAAATCCAATTTCTAAAGATTATGAGTATAGTTTTGTCTTTGGGCCATATCAAATAATACATGAACCTTCTATACTTACGTTAAGTGTAAAACATGCTGTAGTGGGACAGATAACATTTTGGACTGTAGTTTTTCTGATCAAGTCTGTTATGTACCAGTTGAGATTCTGATAAGGCAGTGTCTTTAGTCCTACCTGTAATGTGTTGAATTTTAAAAGAATGGGGGGAGGTGGAATTTGCTTATCTTTTTCTCCCAACAAAGTATTGGTATTTAAAGGGGAGGGACAGAGGACAAGACTAGAAGTATAATAGCTGCTCTAAGTTTGCAGAGACAGATAGGTATTTGTTGTTAATATTGATGTTATTTTTACTGATGTGATTAATTGACAGAGCACCAGGATTCTTTTATGGTGAAAAACATGGGCTTTTGCTTTGAGTATCCTAAAATGCTTTTTAAAATGTGTCAATCCATTCAGATGTGGGAGAACCAGAATCACCCTGGGTTGGTTTAAGGAATGATGAATCATTGGCTCCTCCCAAACATTGCTTTACTGAGTTTTAAATTCCACTCTGTTTTATCACTGAAGAAAGGTGTGTGAATAGAGTTTTAAGTTGTCTGCATAATAAAAACACCCAGTGAAGCATGAATGAAATGGTATGTTGCTTTTGCATTACTAGGAGTGTCAAATAGCGGTTATGGGCTAGAAGTCAACCTATGGAATAAATAATCCTGATGGGAAATTGCTGATTCAGACTTCTCTATTCATAAAATTTTATGTCCAGAGTTTTAAAGCCATTTTATAATACTGCAGTATCCCTTTTCTACAGCCTTACTAAAGTAGCTACATTATTTTCCAATTCAGTGTCACTCTTCCTAGTCTGTTTTCTTTTCATTAGATAGCAAAGTTTTAATTTGCAGACCAACAAACCAACTTGAGGTAAATTATATATAGCTTTTCATAACCCTTTTTTCCTCAGGTGCTAAACAAAGGCTCCAAAAATGGATACTGCTTTAGTGATGTCTGCTTTATTCTTAAAACAAATACTTTTGCTAGATGTAAAGATTTAGTGTGAACAAAAAGGTTTTATTATGTAAATATGAATGAATGCTTTGAGTTTTGCCCTTGTGTTTGTCCTTTATTAGTATGTTTCATTTATCTTCTGTGGAGGAGTATTCTTTCATGATCTTGAACACATTTCATTAGGTATTGCATTTTTAGAATGAAAATACAATTGTTTTCTGTCTTGGATTAATCCTGCTGCTGCTATGAGAAACTGAAAATCAAGAATGTGATGCACTTTTTACATTACTATATACCGTACTTTTAGAGGTTGCTTTGATACCTTTCCTGTAGCACAGCCACTAATAAAAGTGAATGAATTTAAAATTTCTCTTTGGGAGGGAATCAGTACAAGTAACTTAGGAAAGTGAAAATTCTGTTAATATTTCCCTTTTTGGCCTTAAAATGTCTTTTACTGAAAATCTTAGTTTTTCTATTATTTACTCTGCTTCAAAATGAGGAATTGGGGAAAATGGCTTAAAGGAAGTAGTATCATTGGCTTGTTGCTTATTTATCTCTCAGAAAGAAAACAATTGTCTATTATAGAAGCTGGGGACTTATTTTTTATTTGTGTACAAAGGAGAAGTATTGCTGCCCCGAGCCAATCACATTAAGTCAAATCAATCAAAATTCTGACTATTCTGCTTCTCTACTATATTCTTACTTAGTGAATATTTAAATATAGTAGGAGTGATACTTGACAAGAGTGAAAGTCATTTCTCAAGCACATACCCAAACTCGTAGGAAATTGAACCCAAAATAATGGAAGAAAAACACCAACTGGGGTGGAGGAATGAGAAAGATACGTGGTCCAAAGCTATCTGGTTATATTTTGATGTTGCCAATTTTGCAAAGCCAAAATTTTGATTTGCTTATTTAATATATTTGTTGGCCAGAGATCTATTTTTATATCAATGTGCCTTGCATGTATATTAAAAAATTGGAAAGGCCGTGTAGTCATGCCTGAGATAGATGGTTCTTACCACCTCACTAATTTTTATGCAGTATGAAATGCTCATTCTATCGCCAACTGGTGCTCTCTGTTTGAAGTTATAGATCTTGTCACAAACTGGAACTATTTTATAAACTAGGGAAGTGATTAATTAATTTACTTTTTTTTGATGTTTCCTTTTTTGTTCTTAGTCTGTTAGTGGCTGTTCTGTAGTGGGAAATAGTAAAAGGATTCTTCACTCCCTTTCCCTCCCCCCTCAGCACCTTCTTCAAGTAATGTGATGACACCATTTCTTGTGTGTGTTGAAATAAGTTTCAGCTTGCTGTCTTTAGTGTTATAAAAAAAGTGTTATAAAAAGCATTGTTTGCAAAACCTAGGGAGGTTAATGGAGTATAATTTGGAATTTTATGTGAGCTATGGTCCAAGTTATTGGCTCTTTCCAACTTAAAAATTTTTTATTGTTAAAGCACCTTGCTTAAAAAATTTTAAATATTTATGTCTGCAACAATTGTCTCAAAATAATAAACTGTGCAATTCTTGTCATTAAAAAAAAGATCTGAACTCTCCCTAATGTGACTTGTTAGTTTCTCTGTATTCATGCCAGTGTAAATGTGAAAAGCTTTGCTTGCATTACGTTTTAGAAATGCATTTTGCACACTCGAATTTTGCCGAAGCTCCATGAAAAGGTTAGATCTAAGTAGATGAATAAAGCTATGCACATGTTTTGAAAGTTTAATTTGTGTGTCATTACCAAAAGTGACCTATCCTTATTTCCTGTCCTTTACCATCTTTGGAAACATGGCTCAAAGTTACAGTTCTGGGCTAGCTCATCAGAGAGATTAGAGGAGTAGAAAACTGGCACTTATTTTTAATTCAGTTTAAACAAGAGTTTGACTTGTGTCTATTAAAGGGCTTTTCCAGAAACAGGGCAGTTTTATTAGCTTTACAAACTGTTAGATGTTTACCCTCGGTGAAATTTTGGTTTATTTGATCAAATAGAAATGGGAAGTAATTCAAACAAATGGGGGAAGGACCTTTGCCACATGAAGTTCTATGACAATTTTGTCTTAGGCCTGGGTTAGAAGTAGGATAACTTTTTACTGGTTTAGTATAAATTTGGTTTAATGAATGAATGACTTCAGATTAGAACCATTTAAAGATAAAAGCACCGGTTGTTTTAAAGATACTACATATCTTATAAAGATTGCCCAGGTTGCTTAGAATACGTTTAGAAATTGGACAAATTTGGTGAAGTTGCTACTTTCTGCATGTACTAAATAAACAGCTTTACTTCACTTGTATGTGTACCCAAAAGACTGTGTAGATGTACTGGCCAGATTTTTTTTTCAAGTCCTCTTTTAAAAGATTGTTTTGGAATCTCTTAAGGACCTTTGTTGAAAAGGCTAGTAAGTTTAAGTGAAAGATAATATTAATTGTATTTTCTCCTGCTCCTAGATAAAAAGAAGTATTTTCATTTTATACCTTTTCCTATGTATGGGAGAGGGTACTTTTCTGTCAACTGTGCTCTTGATGTATGTTGTTGACTCTGAAACACAGCAAAACCCTTCTTTCTGTGTAATTTTCACTGAAATTGACAGTTAAAAACTAAGACTGAAAAGGTGGCCATAATGCTTGGCCTTAAAGGGCATAAATGCAGGCGCGTACATTATCTCAGATTACCATGGCTACTACTACACCCCTGTCAATAGTTTATGTATGTTCACTCTTAGAACATGTTGGAGGAGCAAAGTACTTTTCTCTATCTGTGTGCATTGGCATGTAGGAACTGAGTTACCTCTTAATGTGGAGAATTAAGAATAATTAGTGGACTACCGTTACATTAGAGGATGTATTTGCTTCCCTCTCCCACTTAAATTTTTTTCTAGTGTTTGTTTTCCCCAGTCAAAAAGATAGGCCTTTTCTACATACAAAAACAGTGGCCAGAAATTTGCTCAATGCTTAGGTGTTTGCCATAGCTGTTTCTGATGTCATGGATTCTGAGGAAGCATCAGTTACATGATGATCTTCCTTTACTGTCTTATTTCATGTTCAGTGTTTTTAAAAATATAAATTACAAACACTACATCCATATCCAGATTTACTTATTTTATCAGGAAAAAATACTTGAGAAATTTGTAGATCGTATTAAGAGACAATAAGTGTACATTATTAATAAAAAAATTTTAAAGTTTCTGAGGCGTTTGTGTTATATTCTGTGTGCTTTAATTTAAAAAATGAGAAAACTAAGTTAACATTGTGACATTGACGACATTTTCAAAAGGTCAAAATATAAATAAATTACATCTTAAATGCACTATGGTTATATGTCTTGGCCTTTAAAAAGTAGTTTTTAAGGTGCTTAGTTAGGGTTGACTTGTTTATTGGAAAATCAGCTGTGAGATCCGCTGTCTTTTTTTGTATGACAAATGAGCCTTGAGTTCTTCCATTTGAAATAAACCAAAATTGAGCTTAGCACCTTAAGCAACTAGAATAAGGTGGCAAGATTCTGGATTTATTCATGACTTTATGGAGAACTATATGGTGCATATTTGAGAAACTAGTGTTTTATGAAGTAGGAAATAATTGTCCTGTTAGTGACTTGCAAGTACACAAAGGGGAATTTGGGTGTTTAAAGAAGATTGTCTTTAAAAAGTTCTCAGACATTTATTAGTGTGAGTTATATGAAGTATGGTAATTAATTCAGTCTACAGAGTTTTGTTTTTTTAATGACATGTATTGTGGACTTAAGCGGCTAACATTTGGAAGCAATGTCTGTGAGCAGAACATAAAACTCTAGATTGCTTAGCAAAGTGTCATACCTAAGGAATTCTCTTACTAGGAGCATTCAGTCCACTACTGTGGGGTACGGTAGATTGATGCAATCTGGGCAATCTGGGCATGAGAACCCCACTCTAGTGTTTATTATAGTCGTCTCCATGATGGTCATATTCCAAGATATACCCGTGGTATCCAGGATACTGGCAACAAACTCAACTAGAAAATCAGAGCACATTGGGTTATTAAAACTAGTTAGGAAGCTGCTTTGCACCCTAAAACCTGAGGTGATACCCTCAAACAGTGGTACAGAAGGCACATTAGATTGGCTTAGAAAACCAGCCACCCCAAATGTGCCAGACACTATTTGTAAGCATAATGTAGCTAAGCTAGTTGAAAATTAACCTGATTATGACAAAAGGTCTGAGTAGTCAAAAAATACTTCCATAAAGAGGGGAGGGGAAAAGTGACCTTAAGAGATTCTGGTGCCAATAATTTGAGATTCAAATTACATGTATTTATATAATGTGTGTGTGTGTATGTATTTACTAGAAAGTGACAGCCATACAAGCACACCCTCAGAGGAAGTTCATTCTGCTTGAATATATGAAATCTGGTAAGACTATGTATTCACAAGGTTTGTACTTGTAAAAGTTCCTTTGACATGATCCAACCCTCCTTTTACTTATGCTCCACATTGTATCTTCATGGAACCAACTTAATTATTGAACCAACCCATGGTTTGTAAGGAGGGGTAGTCGTCACAGATCTCCCGTTGGCACCCAATAAAGTTTTCTTTCTCAAGATGATAGACTATGATTCTGTAATCCAGAAATTAAAAAATTAAGTGCGTCATCTTAATTTTTTACCTTATTTTCAAGTTTAACATGGTTTATAGATGATTATGAAAAAATATTCCAGGCAATACAGATTTACAAGAAAACAATTACCCATGATCTTGTTTAATCCAATTTAATGCCATAACGTTCAAAATGTATAAAAGCTGATACGCTTTGGGACATGAGCAATGAAGGAAGTGTGACAGCAGAAAAATGTATTTGCAACACAGAGCCAATGAAGGAGTAATATTCAAGAATGTGTAAAGATCACACAAATCAACAGGAAAATGTGTGTGTGGGTTTGTATAGTGTTGAAGACAACCTAAATATCCCATAGGAGATTTGGATACTATACAAATAGTCCTTGAGACTGACCTGTATGGAGTTCAAAAACATGCAGAAATTAACTTTGTGATAGGGAGGAGCAATTAGTTGAAAATGGGCTTGGGCCTCCCCGGTGACGCAGCGGTTGAGCGCTGGGTTGTGAGGCTGCCTGCAGCCTCTGCAGCGCCAGTTCGATCCCCGGCTGCTCCCCGGCCACCGGAGGAGGGTCCCACATGGCGCGCAGACCTCCCCACATGGCGCGCAGACCTCTCCTGCCGCCCGCTGCTCCCCTCAGCAGTGTACTTCGGTCCTTCTGCCTGCTCTGCTCCCCGCTCTGGCTCTGGTGAATTCTCTCACCCTCCTGTGCTTCTGACTGTACCCAGTGCTTGTATAAATAAATAAATATTTATAAAAAAAAATGGGCAGCAGGTGATGGGATCTGTATCTCATTAGTGTTGGTTACATGGGTATATAGGTTTTTTTTTTTTTTTAAGATTTGTTTTTATTTATGCATGGGAGGACTGGGGTGTAGGCCAGAGGTGCGCGGGGGTTAAGAGGATTTACAAGAGACAGTGGGGAGCAGAACAGGTGGATTGACTGAAATATGCTGCTGAAGGGAGCAGTGGGTGAGACATGAGATGTCTGCCTTGCCAGGTGGGTTGCTCCCTGGCTGGGGATCAAACTCGTGCTGCAGAGACTTCGGATTGCTTCATAAGTGAGGTGCTTAATCCCTTGTGCCACCAGGGAGGCCTGAGAGCAATATTTTTTAGATCTAGAGATGTTTAGGTTTCCTTCCCTTGAATTTTGGTTGGATTATCAGATCAGATAATTAACAACTAAAATCATGAGAAAAATCATGATAAATAAAAATATTTGGAAAGGATCAAGCCTAGCTCCACTCCCTCTATATGGATCATTTTCAAAAAGCTCCTGGAAGTCCTGCTTGAATTTCCCAAAGACTGGAAGCATCCCAGTCTGATGCACAATAGAATAATGTTTGCTGTTAGAAACAGGATTATTATGAGTCAAAAATAAGAGATATTGGAAAATTTGACAGTTTCTTCAGTCATCCACTTAATGAAGGGTTACTTCAAACTTCCGTTTTTAGGCACAAAAAAAATTGTTAGATTGAAATTTAATTGGCTAATGATTTGATTTTTACTACCTGGTAAGTGCTCATCCTGTTGGCACTTTTGAAAGCCTGGGCTCTTGAGTATCCACTTCCTGCCACCTGAAAGAAGGTCCTTACTTTTACCTTAATGAAAATATCATCTAGGGCCTCCCTGGTGGCGCAAGGAATGCTATCGCACTATGAAGCTATCTGCAGCCCAGCTGGCCAGGAAGCTACCCATATGGCACAACAGACCTCTCCTGTCTCGCCCACTGCTCCTTTCAGCGGTATATTTCAGTCAGTCTGCCTGTTCTGTTCCCCACTCTGTTTCTGGTGAATCCCCTCACCCCCAGCACCTACCTCTGGCTTGTACCGCAATTCTTGTGTGCATAAATAAATAAATCTTTTTTAAAAATACCATCTAGTAGAGAAAAAAAAAAAAGGGCAGAAACAGAGGGAACAGAGTTTTATGCTTTTATCCTTCCTGCCTTTTTGATAAAAAGTAATACATGTCAGTCTATCCACACCCTCTCTCTTGCCCCAAACTTCATGCACAGAAGTGAAAATTTCAGACTCGCAACTGAACAGATGGGACAGAAGGTCATGAGACGTTCAATGTGGTAGGGCTTACTCCCACTTCAGACATCCCAGTGAGGGTATTCTTCTCTCTCCAGGATAAACTGTTGGCCACAAAAGCTGGTATGCTCATAACCAATCCATCTGCTGAAGACAAGAAGGGGTATTTGTTCTCAGTGTTAAGAATCAGGACCTCCCTAGTGGCCTAGGGTTTAGTCTCAGCGTGATCACTGCTATGACCTAAGTTCAATCCCCGGCCAGGGAGCTCACCCATAATGTGCAGCAGACCTCTCCTGTCTCACCCACTGCTCCTTAGCAGTGTATATCAGTAATCTGCCTGTTCTTCTCCCCTCTCTGTCTCTGGGTGAATCCTCTCACCCCTCACTCCCACACATCTGGCCTACACCCTGGTCCTACACAAATTTTTTTTTTTTACACAAATAATAAAAAAAAAAAATCTACATGGCCTCAGGGAGAGGCATGTTTTGTTTCAGATATTTTAAAAGATTTATTTATGCATACAAAAACTGGGGTGTAGGCCAGAGGTACGGGGGTGAGAAGACTCACCAGAGACAGACTGGGAAGCAAAACAGGAAGATCTACTGAAATACACTGCTAAGGGGAGCGGCCGGTAAGACAGGAGAGGTCTGCTGCGCTATGTGGGTCACCTCCTTGGCCTGGGATCGAACTCAGGCTGTTGTGGTGATGGTGCTGAGACTTAACCCCTAAACCATCAGGGAGATCCTTTTTTTTTAAAGATTTATTTATTTATCCATACAAGAACTGGGGTACAGGTTAGAGGTGTGGGAAGGTGAGAGGATTCACCAGAGACAGAGTGGGGAACCGAACAGGCAGACTGAAGTATACTGCTGAGGGGAGCAGCGGGCAAGTCGGGAGAGGTCTGCTGCACCATGTGGGTTACTCCCTGGGCGGCCGGGGATCGAACTCATGCTGCAGTGGCTTCGGACAGCTACATAGGTTGCGTCTTAACCCCTTGTGCCACCAGGGAGGCCCCCCTGTTTTGTTTTAGATATTAAAAGTGGGTTAAAATATTTACTAGTAGGTTAAAATATCAAGCCAATTCTAGTAGAGCCATACAAAGTAATATGCTTATCACAAAAGGTGGGTAATGAGCTGGTATCCACACTAAAAGGGTTTGCAAATGTGATATTTATTTTGTGATTACCCATTGAGGGTCCATTTCATTGGCCTGAGTCATGTGTATTAGCAAAATGAATTTTTTCTCCTGCTGCCACATACCTAAAATCTTAGATCAATTTTTCACAACCAATTACTGATGACACCTTAAAGTATTACTCCTTTTAAAGGGATGAAGGAGTCACTTTTTTTTTTAAAAGATTTATTTATGCATACAAGAACTGGGGTACAGGGCCACCAGGGAGGCCCTGAAGGAGTCACTTTTAAGTGGTAAGCAACTCTGGAAGCCTGTCCATGTACAAAACCAATTCTGCCTAAACCAAAGGAGAGCACTTTACATGTGTTTTCCAAGGCTAGCAGGAAAGCCTTGACTGCCTTGCCAAGAGTCAGAAGAGAAAAAACAGAGGTTCTTCCTCACCAATAAGATTAAACATCAGGGCCTCCCTAGTGGTGCAAGGGGTTAGGCACAGCACTTTGAAGTGGTCCGCAGCCTCTGCAGGATGAGTTTTATCCCCAGCTACCCACATGGCGCAGCAGACCTCTCCTGTCTCGCCCGCTGCTCCCCTCAGCAGCGTATTTTGGTCAGTCTGCCTGTTCTGTTCCCCACTCTGTCTCTGGTGAATCCTCTCACCCCCACCCCCAACACCTCTGGCCTGTACCCCAGTTCTTGTATGCATAAATAAATAAATCTTTAAAAACAAAAGAAAGACTAAACATGAACAAGAAACTCCTGGAAGACTAATTAGGAACTAACATGGCTCTGAGTCTTGGGTTGAATTCCTTGGTACATAGAGAAATTATCTAGTAGTATCTGCTCTGGGATGAGCAGGAGGGGAGTTAGACGTAAAGAGGCTGCAGTTTGGCAGTTCTCTATTTTCTTTTTTTTTTAATCTTTTTTTTAAAGATATATTTATCATACAAGAACTGGGGTACAGGCCAGAGGTGCGGGGGGTGAGAGGACTCACCAGAAAGAGTGGGGAGTACAGGCAGATCTACTAAAATACACTGCTGAGGGGAGCATCGGTTGAGACAGGAGAGGTCTGCTGTGCCGTGTGGGTTGCTCCTGGCTGGCTGAGAATAGCTTCGCAGTGCTGTGCTTAACCCTTTGTGCCACTAGGGAGGCCCCCGTCCTGTGACTATTCTGATGGAATCCTAGGCCTGTGAGCTGCAGAGGCATGGATCTGATTACTGTCACAGCCCCACTGCATGGCATACAGTTCTTTAATCCTCCCACTTCCCAAATCTTGTACCAAGACACTAAGACCTTTATGTTCCTTCTAGCTTTACCTTACTAGCTTACACATGACATGATTACTTCAGTATGTAGGTCTCTCTCCCAGAAATGGTAATGGTGTGGAGGAACATCTTTCTCCCCACATTCCCACCTTTATGACCACATGTTTTTAGGGACTGAGAACAAGTGGTCTGAAGTTCTGCTGAGGTCTATACTCATGCTCCACATTCCACCTTGAGAGACCAGATATTGTTAAACTGAGCTCAGCGACATTTGGGCAGGAGCTGGTAAACTCCATCCCCTTGCCCTGGAAGTTCTCTTGGTGGTAGATGGTTATCTGAATGGGAAAAGAGCTATAATGTTCCCAGGAGGAACAGAGACCCAGATCAACAGTTTAACTGGTGTCTGCCTGACCCTGTGTTTTCCATCACTAGCTGTCGCCCAGGGTGTCTGAGGAGGTCCCTTCAGAGTAGACAGGGTAAGGAGGGCTTTGAATTAATACCCCTGGTTCATGGCATTCACATGCTCAGGCAAGGGGGTAAGTGTAGGAGATTGATTAATGATGGGAATGCTCTGCCAGCGATGATCACTGGCACCACAGACAGACCAAGGACTCTGGAATCGTCATCCCCCATCCATCCTGCATAAGCATGGCTCAGAGGCCAGGGTTCTGGAAGTCCAAGGAACTCCCTGCAGATTATTTCTTCGCTTTTCCAACCACACCCATTAGAGAAACCTAAAATATAAAAGGAAAGCTGTGGTAAACCCCTTTCATACTTTAAACTAGAACTTGACTCTTGAATCTGAATTCCCAAAGCTTTCAACTGACCTCCAAGTGACCCAATGAAAAGGACAATCGATTTGGAGAAAACATTGAAAAGTCTGGGGCATCAGCCTCTTCAAGCAACCTCAGGCTGGGAGTCAGGGCACCAGGGTCCTATTACTTTGGGACTCTGGTGGCAAATCTCTTCAGTTCTGGCCCTCAGTTTCTCCATGGGCATAGTTTTCTCTAGGATGCTCTATTTTAAGATGATTTTAGCAGTGTGAAGGCAAGTTGACATAGAAAACTAAGTATCATCACCCACCCTTCATGCACTTCCGGAGCCTTTCTTTTTCTGTCCAAAATGGGCTTCCTGAGAGATCCTTCCTGAGATGGCATCAGGACCTTGGGTGGACCCTTCACCTACAGACTCATGTTTTATTGTTCAGTCACTGTCTCAAGGAGATGCACAGGCCTCTGATCTGCTTTGGGGTAGCATCTTACCCCCTAACCTGTGGATTCCTCAATTTTTCACGTGATTGGAATGGACTTACCTTCCATGGACCCAGGGACCCTGGCAAGGGAGTGGTCTGAGCCATCTTGGTGATTAGAAGGGTTTCTGGGATAAAATACACAAATGTCATGGTTTCTGGGGTGGGGTGTGAGGTGTTGAAACACAGGGAAAAGTAACAGAGGCTGGAAAACCCAGGGGACATCTTTGCTTGACGTCTTAGCTCTGCTTTTCACTCACTGAGTCTCAGTCGTTTTCATCAGTAAAGCTTCTAAACGCAGAGTTATTATAAGGATTAGATGCAATAATGAGGTCAAGCGGGCACAGGCTGTGTCACTCCTGATAAATGTAGCTCTCTTGCCTGCTTCCAGGCACCCCTACAGGTGGCAGCATCGCCTCAGTCTCACATACCCCAATATAAGCTCTGGCAACATATAGTCCAAATCCCTCATATTACCATACCTGGCTCCCTCAAAGTGACCAGCTGTGAATGTCCCTGCTACCATTCTTCCTCCCTCCCCACACTTCTCTGTTTTCTAGACCAACCCAGCTTTGGCCTCCTTCTCCTGACTTCCCCAGCCTGCAGGAACTTCCTTTCTTACCTGGTTTCTAGCACTCAGTACTGATCTGGGTTCCAGTGGGATATGTCCTGGGTGAACATCTCAACACAGGGACCTGAGTCTCCTGAGTACTGATGTAGCACTGTAGGGGCAGGAAGACCCAGAGCAGGTTTTCTGATCCAGCAGACAGGGTAAAGGAGGAGTCAGAGTCCTCAGTGGTTTTGCAGGTTTTTATTGGGATTTACCAGGTACACGGCAGGCAGAGGTGCTGGGGGGCCGGGAGGCTGGCAGGCCTCCTAGCCCCCAGCAGGTCTTCACTCTGGGCTCTCTGGTCTTCTCTCAGCTTCTGCTTCTCTTGCTTCTCTTGCTTCTTCTCTCTTGCTTCTTCTGCTGGTGTCCCCGTGACGTAGCCCTTAAAACCCCAGGTGAATGCCATCTACCTATGCCCACACGCTACTCCAGGTGCCCGCCATCAGGCATGCATTCAGGACTGCAGGGTTCCGTCATCTATCCTGATGGTGGGAGGGCAGAAAAGCCTGAAACCTTTTACCTTACCCTACAAGCACCTTACTGAGCTCATGACAGGCTGGTGGGAGATTGACAGGAGGCTTTGAAAAAGACGAAGGAAGAAAGGAAGGAAGGAGGGAAGGAGGAAAGGAGGGAAGGAAGGAAGGAGATAATGGCTAACACTTAATAACGAATCAGTCTGTACCAGGCCCTATTCTAACTGCTTCACATGCTTAATTAGTACATTTAATCTTCACGACAGTCTTTGAGGCAAGTACTATCATTGAGTCCCATTTTACAGACGAGGATACTGAGGCTCATAGAGGTTAAGTGGACACAAACCATGGTAGGAAGAGCAAAGGAAAAGAGGATGGGCGGGGAAGGGAGAAAGAAAACAGGCAGGTGTGCGTCAGCTTCCTAAACTCAGAGCAGCCTTTCACCATCTTTCCCTCTGGCTGGGTATTAGGCTGAGAACTGGTAAGTGCAAACCCTGTGATGTATCTTTTCATTCTGAACCTCTGGAGAGATATTTTCCAGCTCCTGCCCCTCCTCCTTCTCTCTATGCCCAGGAGCCTGCTCATTTCTTGGTGCTGCATTCCCCTCCCAGCAATGATCTCTGGGGCCATGGTTACTGCCACACTCTCCATTGGGTGGCAAGAGCAGGCTGCCTCCCCTGCCTCTCCAGAGTTCTCCACACTTCCCTAGCCATACTAGGGGCTCAACCAAAGGCATGAAAACTGGGCCCCGCTGGCTGTATCTCTACAGGACCCCTCAGGGCCTTACTCACCCAGCTCCCGCTGCACAGCCTGTGTCTCCATCTGGTGCCACTTCCTCTGCCACCCTGCTCTTTATAGTCTAGTGTCTGATGGCCTTGTCAGCACTCTGCTTTTTCTCCCCCTGATCCCCAGAGTTTTGGTGGCTCAGCCTGGGGCCTTTGTTTGAACACAGGATACAGAAATCTGGAGAGGACTTGTGGCTGTGGGTCAGGCTGCAGCTTGCAGGCAGCAAGGGGGTAAGGCCAGGTCTCTGAGTGAGCGCTGGTCTCCTGCCCTTGTCCAGGTTCCTCACGTCCCCTCAGGACCTTTGTAAGGTTCCATGTCATGTGGAACACATCTGTAGGGTAAAGAAAATATCAGGCTTTTCTGCCCTTCCGCCATCAGGATAGATGATGGATCCTTGTCCTGAATGCATGCCTGATGGCGGGCACCTGGAATAGGGTGTGGGCATAGGTAGATGGGATTCAGCTGAGTTAAGACTGTGCTTTTTAAGGGCGGCGTCGCGGGGACGCCAGCAGCAGCAGCAGCAGAACCTGAAGGAGAAGCCGAAGCAGAAGCAGAGAACGCCAGAGAGCCCAGATAGAGTGAAGACTTGCTGGGGGCTGGGAGGTCTGTCAGCCTCCCAGCCCCCCAGCCAGCACCCCTGCCTGCCATATGCCTGGTGAACCCCAAATAAAAGACCTGCAAAAACCCACTAAGGACTCTGACTCCTCCTTTACCCGGTCTGCATGGGATCAGAAAACCTGCACTGTGCCCGTTCCTGGCCCTTACAACATCTAAACACACCTCGGTTCCCACAGAGGAAATAGGGTGTTTTTTTGATATTACTAAAAACTGTGAAGTATTATAATTCTGAACTTTATTAAGAAAATAAAAAGACCCACTGTGTTCTCTGGAGTCTTTGTCTTACTATATTCACATATAACTAGGAAAGAGTTGAATTCAATTACAGTTGACTGGTAGACATGAATCTCTCTTTGTAGCTACCTTATTAAATATTTATTCATTTTAATTTTGCAGTTTTCTTTTAATTTTGGAGACAATAAAACTTCTGGTGACTTTTAATATGTTGTTTTAGGCCCCTGGGAATCTCACAGGCTGAGGATACCGTGCTATGGTACCCGAGTTAAATAATTCTTCCCTGGAAGTTCAAGGCACTTGGTAAAGGCCTATGTAAGAAAACTGGGCCTTCCCAGAATCCCTGATGGGGAGGACGTGCTGTTCAAGCATCTTAGCTACTGTGAGATGCGGAGAAGTTCAAGCAGTGGGGCAGGCTTTGAGTCAGGAGGAGGTGGGTTCAAATCCCAGCTCCCCTGGCTGGGTGACTTTGGGGAAGTCACTGAGCTCCTCTCATCCGCCCCCTTTACCCACTGTAAAATCACGAATAGACACGGTGCAGGTTTTCTAGGATCCCATGCAGACCGGGTAAAGGAGGAATCAGAGCCCTCAGTGGTTTTGCAGGTTTTTATTGGGGTTCACCAGGCATATGACAGGCAGGGGTGCTGGGGGGCCGGGAGGCTGGCAGTCCTCCCAGCCCCCAGCAAATCCTCACTCTATCTGAACTCTCTGGCGTTCTCTGCTTCTGCTTCAGGCTTCTTCTCTTTCGGCTTCTCATGGCTTCTACAGGCGTCCCCGTGACGCCACCCTTAAAAGCACAGTCTTAGCGCAGGTGTACCCACTTCAGGTGCCCGCCATCAGGCATGCATTCAGGATCACAGGGTTCCCTCATCTATCCTGATGGGGGGAGGGCAGAAAAGCCTGACATTTTTCCTTACCCTACACCCACCTAAAGGAGATAATATTTCCTGAAACAGTGTAGGTTTGTTATTATTTATTATTCTATTGTCTTTTTTTTTTTTAAAGAGTTATTTATTTATTTTTTTGTTTGTTTATTTATACAAGCACTGGGTACAGTCAGAAGCGCGGGAGGGTGAGAGAATTCACCAGAGCCAGAGTGGGGAGCAGAGCAGGCAGAAGGACCGAAGTACACTGCTGAGGGGAGCAGCGGGCGGCAGGAGAGGTCTGCGCGCCATGCGGGACCCTCCTCTGGTGGCCGGGGAGCAGCCGGGGATCGAACCGGCGCCGCAGAGGCTGCGGGCAGCTTTGCAACCCAGCGCTCAACCGCTGCGCCACAGGGGAGGCCCTATTCTATTGTCTTTGATGAAAGTTACTCTAGAAAACCTCATAGTAAATTGGAAAGAGGAAGAACTTTTTCCCAGTAAAGTTCTCCCAAGTCCTCTGTAATCTCCCCAGTGTGTGACTCAATTTTTGTCAGAGCCCCTTTTCTCAGAACCAAAAGTCAGGAGGTAAATTCTGGTATCTACAAAATATTTGCAGATTTGAGCAGAATGTCCCCTACATACAGGTCTGCAAAACTTGTCATAGTTTGTTTTTCTGCAGTTTTAATGTTTTGAACAGTAGAAGCATATTTCCTATCAAAATGATTCAAGTTATTCATGAAACCAAAGAAGCTGTTCAATTATCTGCTTTTTCTACTAGACTTCATCCTCTGTGAGGTCAGGGGCAGCTCTGGACATAACCCCGAGCTCAAACATTTTGAATGAATGAGTGAATAAATGAATGATCTCCCAGGCTTGCTTTTGGTGACTCCTAGAGGTACAGCAGTAACCTCATTACAGTCTTTACTTGCTTAGTCCTTACCTATGTGTTGTGATATAGTGTTTACTTACCTTAGCCTCAGCTGATCTGCCCATGTTGTTTGTGCTTCACATATGTTCAGCATCTTAATTTGGAAGTTTTATTTATTTTTTTTAAGATTTATTTATCTATGCATACAAGATCTGGGGTACAGGCGAGAGGTGCAGGGGTGGGGTGAGAGGATTCACCAGAGACAGAGTGGGGAGCAGAACAGGCAGACTGACTGAAATACGCGCTGAGGGGAGCAGCGGGTAAGACAGGAGAGGTCTGCTGTACCATGTGGGTAGCTCCCTGGCCAGCCAGGGATCGAACTGGTGCTGCAGTGGCTGTGGAGAGCTTCATAGGTTGCGTCTTAACCCCTTACACCACCAGGGAGGCCCTTAATTAGGAAGTTTTATTCCCCACTGAATTACTAGTATAATGAAGGCTTTTTTTTTTTTTTTTTTTTGGCAGAAAAGCAGGGCTTTTATGATTTGATTGAAAATACTTCCATGGAGGGAAAAATCAAGATGATTGTGCACTTTACAAATGTCCACCCAATATTCCTGGAGTCATAAGCAATCCCAGCCTGTCTCCCTTCTCCTTTCCTCAGTTCCCCAAAGTCCCTGGATGCTGGAGAAGGATTCTCAGATCCCTGGTGCAAATCACCCATGTTCTAGAGGGATCTCCCTTAATCATGTTCTAGAGGGATCTCCCTCTGACATTGTCTGGATCTGTTACTTTACCTGCTCCGCTTTGGTTATGGCCTTGGAGCTCCAGCCTCCACCACCATCTCTTTCCAGCAAAGTCAGGGCAGGACCACTCCAGGAGTGCGATGCAGAGACAACCAGCTTGTGATCCCTTTTTCCAAACTGGGTTTGAATCTCTCCTGTTCATTCTCATTGTGAATAACTAGAGCTTACTGAGTACTGTGCTCCTGACAGTGCCTCTTTTGTCCTCACAACAACCTCAGGAGACACATTATTTTAATACCCATTTTATAGATGAGTTAACTAAGGTTCTGAGAGGCCAAGTTCTGGGCCATGGAACCCAGCAAGCACTTGAATGCATGTCTCCAAAGTCCATATTCTTTCTTCTGGGAAAGAATACCTCTCTGGAATAAAGTAGGATGATAATACCTACCTAACCCACAGCTGTCAGACAAAGGGAGATAAAGATGGTTAGGATATCATTACTTATTATTCAGTTAGAGCTCAAAAAATAACTGCATTATTGATTGTGCCAAATCAGTTACTCATACCACATTCTGGTAGCAACAAGTAGGAGCAAACAGCAAAGGATTTTAGAGAAAATGATCAGATAATAAATGTCTGCTTCCAATTTGGAAAGACCACATTCATTCATGTTTTCTTATTCAGTTTTAGCACATTCTGTCAGTCTTTCCGAAGAATGTCTATCTGTTGAGGATGTGGATTGTTTTCACTTCACACCCTCATTATACAAGCAGGTAGGGGAACTGGCTGTCCAGTGGGAAGGGCTTGTAGATTTGGAGGTGATGACATGTGACACCCCTCAAATGTAACATGGTCAGTTTGTTTGGGTTCCCTGACATTAGAGCTAATGCCAAGCATGACGGATGCTCAGGAGAATGTTATGAAAGGCATGGACCCCTTGGCCTTGCCCCTAGGCTCAGGGAGCCTCCCAGGATGAGGCTTGCTGCCGGAGGGGTGAGGTCACAGGCAGCTGGAGTCAGCACTTTGTGATAAGAGCGTAATGGGGCTGACCAGGCGGCTGAGCAGCACTTTTGTTGTTTGGGGATAAACAGGATGGCTACAAAGCAAAGGGCACAGTCAGTGTTCAGCCAGCACCTACATTTCCCCATGAGGGGTTGCTTCCCGTGGACCTTTTTTGCCATGCGCCTTGCTGCTTCTATAAACAGGCAGGAGAGCCTGGAAGGGTGGCAGGGTCTGGCTGGGTACTAAGACAGTAGGGTCAGCTCTGGGAGAGAACATGGGAGGCATCTTGAGCCTCTGCTCTCTCTGAGCGTTTTCTTTTCTTTTTTTTAAAAAGATGTATTTGTTTATTTTTATACAAGAACTGGGGTACAGGGCTGAGGCGCGGGAGGGTGAGAGAATTCACCAGAGACAGAGGGGGGAGAAGAATAGGCAGACGGAAAAGCACTGCTGAGGGGAGCAGCGGGCAAGACTGGAGAGGGTTGCCTTGCCATGTGGGTTTCTCCCTGGCCGGCCAGGAATCAAACCTGCGCTTCAGAGGCTGCAGACAGCTTCACAGCGCTGCACTCAACCTGTTGCACCACAGGGGAGCCCCTCTCTGAGCATTTTCTTTTTTTTTGGGGGGGCGGGGGTTATTTATTTATTTATCACTCTCTGAGCATTTTCTATGGACATCTGGTTCTCTATTTCCCAGCATAAGTGGATGCCCAC